GTCATCTGTTGCTGCAAAGTAGTACTGTTTCACTGGGTTTCCTTGGTTATAAATTTTATAGAAGCAGATCACCAGATGTTTCTTATGTAACTCAGTGGGTGGGTTTGAGCCACCAATTTTTAGATTGGTTTGTATTGCCCTTGAGTCAGTTCTAACTCATGGTGGCAGTGGTTATGTGCCGTGGAGTCGGTTCCAACTCATAGGGACCCTGCACAGGGTTTCTGAGGCTGTAAATCTTGATGGGAGCAGAAAGCCTCATCTTTCTCCCACGGAATGGCTTGTAGTTTTAAACTGCTGACCTTGCGGTTCACAGCCTGATTCATAACCACTAAAACTGTCACTCAGGTGCCTTATATATGGTAATAAACCAAATCAAGCCCACAGCCATCAAGTTGATTCCTACTCCTTTATAGGACAGAGTAGAACTCTTTATAGGACAGAGTAGAACTCTTTATAGGACAGAGTAGAACTCAAGGTTTCCAAGGCTGTCATCTTTTCGGGATGTGAGAAACATTGTCTATACTGACAAACACTCAAGGAATCCAGTCGGTACTCATTTTAGCAAGAGCCAGGTTTTCTTTATTCAATTTTGCAAAATCGAGCACCCAAACCAGTAGACATGGGCAGGCGTGGCATATGGCCCACCACAAATGGTTTTATTCTTGTCTCCAAAAAGCCCCTCCTCCAGTTCCAGTTCCCCATATACAATTCTATGGCACGTCCCATTTTCCCTTCCCCCATTGAAGCCAAAATGGTTGTATTCTTATTTAAATGTCCTAGTCCTAGAACAGCCTGCTTGTTTCAGCAGTCTGTCTGCCAGGTCTAGCAAGCTTATGAATTCCTGACCATGGACGATGCCCACAAGAGTTATTTCTCATAGGGAGCAGACAGCTTCATTTTTCTCCCATGGAGCTACTGATGGGTTTGAACCACTAAACATGTGGTTAGCCACCCAACACTTAACCCGCTGTGCCACTATGACTCATATATGTATGGTTTTTATATACAGTACTATGGTTGGATAAGCACTTTGGTTATGTGCCGTGGAGTAGGTCCCGACTCATAGTCGGACCCTGTACAGGGTTTCCGAGGCTGTGAATTTTTATGGGAGCAGAAAGCCTCATCTTTCTCCCACGGAACAGCTGGTGGTTTCAAACTGCTGACCTTGAGGTTCGCAGCCCGATTCGTAACCACTATGCTACCAGAGCTCCTGGGTAAGCACTAGACTAACTGAAATGTTGGTGGTTCACACCCACCAGCCATTCCTCTGACACCCTACAGAGTGTCTCTTGAGTCAGAGCCAACTGGACAGCACTTGTATAGTTTTTCTGAGGCTGTAAATCCTTGTTGTTAAGTGCCACCAAGTCAGTTCCAACCCATAATAACCCTGTATAGGGTTTCCAAGGAGCAGCTGGTAAGCTTGAACCACTGACCTTGCATTTCAAACTGATTTTGCAGTCTAGTGCGTTAACCCATAAGTACCAGGGGAGCAGAAATCCTCATCTTTCTTCAGTGGAATAGCTGGTTGGTGGGTTTTAACTGACTGACTGTGGTTAGCAGTCAAATGCTTATTCTACAACACCATCAGCTCTCCTTATATATGGTAATGTGCAGGCCACTGGATAGCATTCAAGTTTAGAAGTCCACACTGTCCTTATCCTTGACCTTGTCCTTATCCCCATTTTCCTGTTGAAGTTAATTTGGCTGGAAAGTATATTTTACAGTATCTTTTATCTTTCCAGTATTTTGGCTGACACTAAAATCAGTTTTTATTCATTTGAAATACTATCTAATCACATAAAATGAGCAGTGAAAATAATTAAAAGAAAAAAGATTTCAAGTTTCTACCTATATTTTGACATGTAATTCTTTTTCTTTACTAACCTAGGTTGTTGGCAAAGAAAATTTGGAAGCTAAAATTTCTAGCTTGAACAGTGAGATTCTGAAACTTGAAGAACAAGTCACTCATATGAAAAACAAAAATTTGCCTGCTGTGGTGAAAGAGAATGCCCAGTTATTGAATATGCCAGTTGTAAAGGGGGATTTTGATCTGCAGATTGCTAAACAAGACTACTATACAGCAAGACAAGAGTTAGTTTTAAATCAGTTGATAAAGCAAAAGGCATCATTTGAACTTCTACATTTAGCATATGAAATTGAATTGAGAAAGCATTGGGACATATATCGTCAACTTGAAAATTTGGTTCAAGAACTGAATCAAAGTAACATTGCACTTGGCCAGCGATTAGAAATGCTAACAGATCCATCAGTATCTCAGCAGATAAATCCAAGGAATACTATTGATACCAACGATTATTCTACTCATAGGTATGCTTTATACTTTATTTCATGAGTATTCATTATTTTATTGTAAAATATTAGTGTTTTAAAATTGTGGAAGTTTTGAGGAATTTTTTGTACTCTTTTGGTCTTTGTAGTCTCTTCTTCCACTTGTATACGTTTCTTTTCCTCTTTCAAAATTTTGCTCCCTTTTCCATTTCATATTTGAACTAGAAGTAGCTACTTTACAGCTGAGGGCTTTTGGTTGGAGGAATGAGTATTTATAAGGTCTTATTATTAAGTGCCATCAAATTGGTTCTGACTCATAGCGACCTTGTATAGGGTTTCCAAGGTACAGCTGGTGGGTTTGAGCTGCTGACTTTATGGTTCACAGTCCAGTGCTGATCCAGGTACCCTACACCTAGAGTCCTTTAGCCTCATAGTTACCCCATAGCCCATTTGTTGTTGTTAACCGCTGTTGAGTCGGTTCTGACCTATAGCAACCCTGTATAGGGTTCTCGAGGAGCGCTGGAGAGCTTGAACTGCCAGCCTAGCAGTTTAAATTGACTTTGCAGTCAATTGCATTTACCCACAGCACCATTATTTAGATGCTTGTTTTAGATTTGGGGCAGGAAGTTTAACAGCTATAGCTTGGTATCGTGGCTGTTGCTGGGCAGTAGAGAGGTACTTCATTTGTGTCTTTCATCAGGTGAATCAGTGAAGATGAATATTAACTTCCATCCCTTTTCTGAAAGTCTGGGCCATTTGATGGCATGGGGTAGAGATTGTTAAGTGCCTACGGGTTGATTCTGACTCACTGTGACCCTGTGTAGGGTTCCCAAGGTTTTGATCCTGCTGCTCCACACTAAGGAGTACTGAGATTGGAGGGTTTAAAAGTCTGGATCCTACTCTGGATTTTTCTCTAGTAACTATAGTAGAATCATTTAATCCTTTTATTTTTTTGCTAATACAATGAGGGCCTTGGATGGGTTTGCCATGCTACACAATTTCAGGGAGTGCCAACCTGGCAGACCATACCAGGTTAGAGTAATAATATTTTTTTTGCTATTATTTATGTAGCTCTTTATTGCTTCCTTTTTTACATTTTATACACTGGATTTGCATTTCGCTTTTTTTTCTTTTAATCCCACTACAATCCTGTGAGATTGGTGCATATTAAGATAAGGAAATGAAGTCTCAGATTGATTTGCCCTGTCACATATGGGACTCCTCTTGGTGTGGTGCTTCGGGGAATGTGCTGGACTGCAAGGTCAGTTTGAGTCACAGGGTTGGTGAGTCAAACCCACCAACTGCTCCTCGGAAACCTTATAGAGGAACTCTGTGAGTCCGAACCAACTCGATGACATTTAACAACAACAGTGAGGTGCTATAGGATCAGCACTGGACTATGAACCACAAGGTCAGCAGTTCAAACCCACCAACTGTACCTTTGAAACCCTATACAGGATTGTTATGAGTTGGAACCAACTCAACGACATTTAACAACAACAACGTTACATATGGAGTGAGATCTCCAACCTAGGTCTTCTGTTTCAAGTTCATTGCTCTTCTTACTACATGATATTTGTGTTCTGTGAAGGAATTATTTTCTTGTGAGAGAGCCTCGGGAACACGCTGTTTTAACTAAGTCTGTGGCAGTTACAGGCGTGAGAAATTTTATCCATATCTAAAACTTCAGAGAAGTGGGAATTGGAGATTGAGATGAAATAGTCGGACTCTGTCCCTGTTTCTGTATTGAAGTACTGGAGTTGGAGCTGCTCGATTTAGCAGCAGACAGATGAATTGTTCTCTTGTGTTCATCTCCCGTTGTTTGTTGTGAAGTGCTGTTGAGTCCATTCCGACTCATGGCGACCCTGTATCGGGTTTCCAAGGAGCAGCTGGTGAGTTTGAACTGCCGACCTTGTAGTTCAAACTGGCCTTGCGACCCAGTGCATCCTATAGTGCCACACCAGGTCTGATATTACAGTGGACTGTGTAATTGCTTCTGTAAATATCTGCAGCCTTGGAAACGCCACGGCTCACAACCACCACCACCACCATAATTTTGAAAATTACTGACTTAGAAATATCTTCCAGTAATTTTTATTTTCACATTATAGACTTTACCAACTTCTAGAAGGAGAAAATAAGCAAAAAGAACTGTTTAGAACCCATGGAAACCTGGAGGAAGCAGCAGAGAAATTGAAACAGGATATTTCTGTATTACAAGATCAGCTGGCAGTATCTTCTCAAGAACATTTTTCCTTTCTGTCCAAACTGAATAATGGTGTTGACATGCTCTGTGATTCTTTGTATCAAGGAGGGAATCAGCTTTTGCTCACTGATCAGGTGAGTGTTTGCCATTACTGATTGTAAGTGCTTTAAAAAATCATGCTGCTCATAAAAGAAATGGAATGAAATGTTGACAGGAAGGAAATATTAGCTCAAATTCCATTCCAGTAATATAAAATTTAAATTTTGTTTATTTACTTCTAGTGTACCCAGAATTTAAAAGTTATGCTTCATGCTAAGTATTTAAAAAATAATAAAACCCATCCTTGTATTTTTACATCTACCTTAAGAAGTAAAAGTTTGCCCTTTTATATAAAATCCTCTGTGTTTACTTACTGATAAGCATGTTCCTCCCTAATATCAGTCCTTTCCCTTATTTGAAGAGTAACAACTATGCTTAATTTTGTTTATCATTTGCTTGCTTTTATTTGTAGCTTTAATGCACATGAATATCTCATTTGTTGTTAGGTGCTACAGAGTTGGTTCCGACTCATAGTGACTCTGTGTACACCAGTGCAAAATACAGCCTGGTTCTGTGCCTTCCTCATACTTGTTTCTATCCATTGTTGCAGTCTCTGTATCAGTCCATCTCATTGAGGATTTTTTTTTTTGATGACCCTCCTCCTTTACCAAGCATGATGTGATGTTCTTCTCCTGGACTGGACTGGGTACTTCTGATAATATGTCCAAAGTAGAGAGAAGAAGTCTTGCCCGTTCTCCTTTCTAAGGAGTATTCGGCTGTACTTCTAAGGTTGTTCATTCTCCTGATAGTCCCTGATATAGTCAGTATTCTTCACCAACACCATAATTCAAAGGCATCATACTTTTTATTTTTTTGTTTTCTAACTTTATATACGTGATTTTTATTATATGGATTCTTGAGTAGTTTGCTTGTTTTTCAACATTATGTTTTTGGGAGTTACCCCCTTGCTACATATAGAGCTGTAATGCAGTCAGAGTTTTCTCCATTATATAGTTAGTATTCCATTACAGGTTGTCCCTGACTTAACAGTAGAGCTCTGTTCTGTTCTGACAGCTCCATCATAAAGTCGATGTGAGTCAAATATTTTTTTATTGCTTTTTATTATCAGTATTTGTATAAACCCAATCTTTATTTGTCTTTGAGGGTTAGAAATAGTACATAAAAACATACAGCTACAGTAACATTGGCAAATTACATACTGCAGCATTATATGTAGTGCATACTACTGGCCATGAGGTTAGCTGTACCAAAACAGAATCAAACCACTGAGTGTTGTCAACGGGGTGTGTTGTAATTCACATGCTTCATAAGTCAAGACTATGTGAAATTCTACAACTTAATTGCCTGTACTGTGGCACCCATTTAAGTTACTTTGGCTTTGCTGTTATAGATAATACTGCTATGGATAATGTTTTTGCATGTCTTCTTACATAGTTGAGCAGATCTGTATAGCAGAAGGTCTTATAAGTAAATAGTTATGAGACATGCAAAAACTACGCATATTATTGGTAATAACTGAAATATAGTTATCATACATTTTTATTATATACATACATGCATGTTGTTAAGTACCATCGAGTTGTTTTCAAGGAGCAGGTGGTGGGTTTGAACTGAAGACCTTGTGGTTCACAACCCAGTGCTGATCTTGCATATATATGGTGGCTGTGTGCCGTGGAGTCGGTTCCGACCCATAGCGACCCTGTACAGGGTTTCCGAGGCTGTAAATCTTTACAGGAGCAGAAAGCCTCCTCTTTCTTCTGTGGAACAGCTGGTAGTTTTGAACTGCTGACCTTGAGGTTCTCTGCCCAATTCATAAATATATACATGTATAAATATCATAAAAACACTTACACACATACCCAAAAGTGGCATCATTTGATTTATAAATTTCTGCCAATCCTATGAGTGTAAACTGGTGTCCACTAGGGGTTGCAGTTTACATTTGCTGGTTTTATTACAAAGTTTGAGCCCCTTTCAGTTGTTTACTGGCTACTCAGCCTTTCCTGAAAAATAACTTTTTCATCTCCTTTGCCCGTTATTTAGTTTTTGCTTTAAAGAAACTCTCTGTATAGTGTTGTTAGATGTTGTTGAGACGGTTCTGATTCATACAGATCTTATGCATAACAGAATGAAACACTGCCCTGTCCTGTGCCAACCCACAGTCCTTGCTACCCTTGAACCCACTGCTGCTGCCACTGTTCCCATCCCTCTTGTTGGGGTCTCCTCTGTTTGACTGACCTGCCACATTATCAAGCATGCTGTCCTTCTCCAGGGATTGAGCATTCCAGATAATATGTCTGAAGTGGTGTGGCGCTGTGGGCTAATGCATCAGAGTGCACAGTTGTTTGAACTGCAAGGTCAGTGGTTCAAGCTTACCCGCTGCTCACAGGGTCGCTGTGAGTTGAAATCGACTCCACAGCGCTTATCAACAACGAGAGACAAAGTCAGGTCATTCTGACTTCTAAGGAGCATTCTGGGTGGAATTCTTTCAACACAGGTTTGTGTGTTCTTTTGGAAGTCCAGGAAACTTTTAATACTCTTTTCTAATGCCATGATGTTGTTGTTAGGTGCCATTGCATTGGTACCGACTCACAGCCATCCTGTACACAACAGAATGAAACACTACCTGATCCTGAGCCAACCACACAATTGTTGCCATGCTTGAGCCCATTGATGCTGCCACTTTGCTAATCAATCTTGCTGGGGGGTCTTCCTCTTTTTCTCTGATACTCCACCTTATCAAGCATGATGTCCTTCTCCAGTGACTGGTCCCTCCTGACAATATGTCTGAAGTATGAGAGATAAAGTTTGGTCACCCTGGCCTCCAAAGAGCACTCTGGCTGCACTTCTTGCAACACAAATCTGTTTGTTCTATTGGCAGCCCATGTCCCTTTCAATATTCTCCTCCATCACCATAACTCAAAAGCATCAATTCTTCTACCATCTTCCTTATTCACTGTCCAGCTTTCGCATGCATATGAGGTTATTGAAAATACCATGACTTGGGTAAGGCGCACCTTAGTCCTCAAGCTGACATCTTTGCTCTTCAACACTTTAAAAAGGTCTTGTGCAGCAGATTTGCCAAATGCAATACATCGTTTGATTTTTTGACTGCTGCTTCCATGAGTGTTAATTGTGGATCTAAGCAAAATGAAGTCTTTGACAAGTTCAATCTTGGGTTCACTGGTGAGGATTATCATTATTTTTTACATTGGGGTGCTACCCGTACCGAAGGCTGTGGTCTTTGATCTTCATCAGTTAGTATTGTCCTCTTTATTTGCATATTGCAAGTTGTTAATCAGTCTTCCTTCAGTCTCATGCCGTGTTCTTATAATCCAGCTTCTCAAATTACTTGCTCAGCATACAGATAGAATAAACGTGGTGAAAGAATACAACCCTGGAGCATACCTTTCCTGATTTTAAACCATTCAGTGTCCCCTTATTTTGTTTGAACAACTGCCTCTTGGTCTACACACAAGTTCCTCATGAGGACAATTAAGTGTTCCAGAGTACTTACTCTCTGCAATGTTGTCCACAGCTTGTCATGATCCACACAACGGAAACCCTTTGCATAGTCAATAAAGCACAGGCAAGCAAGCATCTTTCTGGTAGTGTCTATTTTCTGCCAGGATCCATCTGACGTCAGCAGTGATTTCCCTCCTTCCACATCCATGGCTAAGTCTGTCTTGAAACTGGTAGTACTGTTCCAGCCATTGTTGAATTTTCTTTAGCAAAATTTTACTTACATGTGATATTAATAATATTGTTCGATGATTTCTGCATTCCGTTGGGTCACTTCTCCTTGGAATGGGCACAAATATTAATTTCTTCCAGTCAGTTGGCCAGGTGGCTGTCTTCCAAATTTCTTTGCATAGATGAGTGAGTGGCTCTAGTGCTGCATCAGTTTGTTGTAAGATTACAATATGTATTTCATCAGTTTCCAGAGCCTTGTTCTTTGCCAGTGCTTTCATTGCACATTGAACTCTTCTTTCTATACCATTGGCTCTTGGTCGTGTGCTACCTCTGAAATGGTTAAACATTGGCCATTTCTTTTTGGTACAGTGACTCCGTATTTGAGTAATAACAACTATGCTTAATTTTGTTTATCATTTGCTTGCTTTTATTCATTGTTTTATTGAACTTAAAGATCTCATTTGTTGTTAGGTGCCACTGAATTATATTCTGACTTCTTCCATCTTCTTTTGTTGCTCTCTGCATCATTCAATGTTTTGCCCATAGAATCCTTCAGTATTGCAAAGTGAGGTGTTAATTTTTTCCTCAGTTCTTTTAGCTTAAGAAATGCAGAACAGGTTCTTCCCCTTTGGAGTTTTAAGTCTAGGTCTTTGCCCATTTCATTGTAATATTTAACTGTCTTCTAGAGCTGCCCTTTGAGATTTTCTGTTCAATCTTTTTGCCTCCTCATTTATCCATTTGCTTTAGCATCTCTATACTCAAGCAACTTTCAGAGACTTTACTAACATCCATTTTGGTCTTTTCCTTCTTTCTTGTATCCTAGTGGCCTTTGCTTTTTTCCTGTATGAAGTTGTTGATGTCATCTCACAACTCTTCTGATAGTTGGTCATTAGTGTCTAATGCATCAAATCTGTTCTTGAGATCTCTAAATTCAGGTGGGATATATTCAAGGTCGTATTTTGCCTCTCAGGGACTGGTTTTCATTTTCTTCATCTTCAGCCTGAACTTGAATATGAGCAGTTAATGGTCTATTCCAGTCTGTTCCTGGTCTTGTTTTGGCTGATGATTTGGAGCTTTTCTACACTCTTTGCATAGAAATAGTCAATTTTATTTCTGTGTATTCTATCTGGTGAGATCCATGTGTAAAGTCATCTTTTATGTTGTTTAAAAAAGATACAACAATGGTTACCCCACTTCCTCCCTGTGGCTTCCCTGTAATAATTATATATCATAAATGAACAAAGCAAAAATATTTGTTGTACACATACAAAACAAAAAAATATGTATTCATTTAAACTTCCAAGAGGCACCTTCTGCAAGCCTGCCTCCTGTCCACAGACACATAACTTACTTAGTCCATGGGCCTAGAGCTCACAGTTGCTCTGTACCTCCAAGCCACTGCCTCTGCCACTGGTTCTACTGTTGCCTCTTTTCTAGGTAGTGTCTCATGCTCTACTCATGTTCTTCCTTGCTGGTCCTGGGATCATATGTTCCTGAAATGAAAGATTAACTACTTTCCCCTTCTCCTAGAAGATATTTACACATCTTCGACAATTACATTTGTGACAATCACAATTATTCCTGACAACAATTACTCATAATTGAATTGTAAAACCCTATACCTGTTATCCCCCATCCCCTTTCACCAGATCCATCTGGAAAAGAGAAAAACTCTTCAGTGGGGATTCTATCTTACTCCCCTCATTCTGAAACTAAGTACACTCATGAAAGCTTATAAGCCAGCCACTTCATGCCTTTGTAACCCTCCCTGTTTTGATATCCATTGTCTAAATTGCCTGTCCCAGTACACTGGGGAAAGAAGCTTAGTTCTTGATAATGAAGAATCCTTCCATTCCAGTTGGAATTTTGAGCAACTGCCTCATAAGCAAAAGTTCAGTTCATCAAATTGTAATACTTTATACTTGCTCACAGTTTTAAGCATCTTTATCTTCATTTGGTCAGCTAGCCATCCAAACTATGTCAAATGGGTACTAGCAGCAAGTTTGGGAGTTCGTGCACAGCTCCCTGCACTTTAGACCCACTGGTCATTTCACTCTCAGCCCTAGCCCCCAGAGACGAGGTCAGTGATCGTGGGCTCTGGACATCATACATAACCCTAAACTTCAGACCAGCTAGGCCCTGCCTCTTTTCCCTGTTACCTCAGGGTCAACGGCTGTCACTGGAACATGGCCAAACTCAACCCATGGCTTCATTGGTGCATTTCCCCCACTTCTACTCACAAGTAGACCCAGATGATCACCAGTGACCATAGTAGACTGCTCGTGGGTTTCCTAGAAGTGGGGTTTCCCTGACAGGCCGAGTTTTCTTGCCTTGATACATCCAAAGCAAACAACTTGCTTGATACTCTACTAGCCAAACAGTCCCCTTTTTTTCTTCAGGTCTTCTTTCAATAAGATTCTTCTGTTCTCCCAGCAGTTCTGTGTTGGCTGCATGGTTTTTCACATGGAAATGTCCCAACCCAGAAGGTTGTGGATGTGGGGCTCAGGACTCCACCTAAGGCCCCACACTCTACTAAGGCTTAACAAGAAGCCTGTTTCCTTGGGCAAAGTCTTCCTGTTTCAGAAAATCCAGTCAATTATAGGTTGAAGGTGGGCTTACAAGCTTTCTGTAATCATAATTCCCAATATTCATTTCTATCACACATAAATGTGTATTTATAATAGTAGGCAGGGGAAACTAATATTCACAAGATGGTAAAGCTCATAAACATTTTTTCCCCTTCTTTACTTATTCAGACTATGTCTTGGTCCATATATCTACTCCCAGAGCACTGTTGTGTATCTAAATCACTATTTATTTCTGTTCCATCTAGGTCATGTCATGCATGCCTCCCTAAGACTTTTCCCGTCTCCATTGTTCATCTGCCACTCTCTATCTTATTGTGTATTGTCCTCCCCACCTCTGCAATTAAATTTATTATGGCTTTTTAATTGAGTTTTATTTACTGTGGAAATTGTTCTAACTCATTTAGAGTCTTTCTGTGTACATTACATTTAAAATTTATTATTGATGGTGTGAATACAGTTCTTGAGTTAAAGGCATTTTCATTTTTCTCTCTTAGGAGCTGCTGAAACAGTTTCACCAAGTTGAATCTCACCTGAATAAGCTCAATCATCTCCTTACAGAGATCCTTGCTGATGTGAAAGCAAAAAGAAAAATATTGGCAGCTAATAAACTGCAGCAACTTGAAAGAGAATTATATGTATATTTTTTTAAAAATGAAGCATATCTACAAGATATCGTGGAGAATTTAGAAAGCCAGTCAAAGATTAAAGCTGTTGGTCTTGAAGAGTGAAACTAGTAAAAATTGAATTTTTACTACAATATTGATTTGGAATATGTTATGTTTTACATATTAGGGAAATACATCACATCTCATACTGCTAAATTTTTAAATTCAAAGTCATTGGAACATTTTACTTAATGAGTTCAAGCACTGTATCAGTTTGTTTTTTTTCCTAGTGTAACATATGTGTTTGAAGTGTCAGAGCTTTATAAGACTTGGTCATTGGTTTGGTGACTTCAGTGGGTAATACTTAGTCCTGGTAATTTGTTACCTTACAAGGAAAAAGCATTATACAATGTAAATATTTAAAAATGCAATTGTAGCTGTCCTCAACCTTTTTGGAAGGGTGGGAGGGAGTATAGAAATTTTCTACTGTTTCGATACTGAAACTATTTGTACAACTCTGAATCAACATTGTTAAATATATGACATGAACAGATTCCTTCTTAATTTAACTATAAAGTAAAATTGCACCTGCCCTTAATTTCCAGCTATAGAGACCTTGAGGCTGTTTTAATGCATGCTTCTACTTTTGCCATGAAGACTGTGAGGACTCCACTGGCCATTGTTTATATTAGGGGCTGAGTCCTAGAGACTCCAAACTTCGGCAAAAGAATTCTCAGTCAAACTCAGAATTCCATTAAGTGTCATTGAAAGGATGTTTGATGGTGTTTTAAACTGTTTCTTTGGAACGAAAAACAAATGTTGAGATGCATTTAATGTAAAAGACTAGTATTTGTACAATTACTTGATGTTAAAAACTTCAAAGTAGCTCATTTATCAGTTATTGCATCAAATGCTTCTTGAGTCTGCAGTTTAGACATGATTGTATAAATACTGTGTGAGCTTTATAGAAATATCAGAAGATACAGCTACTCTTTAAAAAGATATCTAACCTGCTTGTACCATGGAATGCCAATCTAAAAACTATGTATTTTATGTGGTGTTTATGGAAATAGTTTCATCTGAATCAGAATTTTAGGTAAAGAAAGCCCTCTAGATTTTTTATCCACTGAACAAATCCATTTGTTGTATTAGGCATCATTTAAAATTTTATATTAAATAGATCTTAATATACTTGAAATTTTTATAGCAATAAGTTTTTTTCTAAGGTTTTAATGTCAGCTGCTTCTCACTTGATTGACTTTTTTGTTGTTTTTTTCCCCCATTCTACCTTGCGATGGTGTCCTGGTGTGGTACTGTAGGATCAGCACTGCAAGGCCGGAGGTTCAAACCTACCAGCCGCTCCTTGGACACCCTGTACAGGACCGCTATGAGTTGGAATTGATTCAAAGGCACTTAACAGCAACCTTGTTAAGGAAACTTTACGATTTAAATTTTCTCCAATACTCTGGAAAAATGCAGCTCTTGGTTTCTTTGTTCATGCTGACAAATTCTGTTTAAATTAGTGCTGAATATGTTAGATGTGTGACCAGATGCTTAGTGATTTATATTGGGCCCTGCGTTGAACTGAGTAATAGGATGATACTTTATGTATCTAATCTTAATTACCCAAGTTCACTATAAATGATTCTTGTGTTACTAGATTTATATGCTTGAAGATTAATAACAGCTATTTTTCAAGCCTCAGGAAGTTTTTGCATAGATTGTTGTTAAGTGCCGTCGAGTCAATTCCTACCCATAGCAACCCTGTATAGGGTTTCTGAGGAGCAGCTGGTGAACTTGAACCACCAACCTTGCAGTTCAAATGACTTTGCAGTCTGACGCATTAGCCCACAGCGCCACACCAGGACTCCTTGCATAGATTACTTTAAAATTGGTTTACTAGAAAATGTATTCTTTAGTTTGCTCTTTGTTTACCATAATTGTTGAATCGAGCCTCTAACCTGTTTGCTTTACTGTTACTGTCCGATTTATTATGGGGTAATTGATAACAAGTTTGCTGTGGTAATTATTAACATAGTAATTTTTATGAACGGCTCACTATATAAGTTTTTCAAATAAACTTGTATTTCTTATTTTAATGCCTTCAATTAACATGTGGGCATTTATCTTATGTTTAGGATTTTATGGAAATGGAAACTGATGAGGCATATGTAGGCTTTGATCTCTGTACGACACCGCTGTCCAGTCTTGCTCAGAAGATTATGTCTGCTATGCATGCAGTTGAGTTAGTGGATTCTGAGAATTTGAGAGAGAGTGGAAAGAGTGAGTAATTTTAAGAACCTTTCTGGGTTTAGTTACCTTGAACCTTCCTAATTTTTAAAACTAAGATTTGAAAATGAAATGTCACAAAATTGTTCCATATTAGGGTAATTAAAGTATTGCTATAAAATCATAGGAACCTTTATCAAACCAAGCTATCAAAATATGAGGGGTTGGTTTTTTTTTTTTTTTAACATAGCTTCCAACTAGTTTCTACCCTTCTGAAGGCAGTGTTTCCATCTCTCTAACCCTTTCCTGAAGAATTCTGCATCTTCAGTTTATACATGTCAAAATGGCACTTCTGCCATTCTCAAGGGACTGAAATCATATTCTTTTAAAATGTTCTTTGAGTTTTGATCAGGACCGTAGGGTGAATGGAGGTTTCCCAATGCAATCTCCTAGGGCAGCCCTTGCTACCCTGAAAGAGTAAGCTTTTTGTGTGTGGGCAAAAAAGTCCTTGGCACAACTTCCCTGGCCTTTTTCTCTCCAATGCAATTTTCATTTTTCTGAAAACTTCTTCCTAATTGTTAAGTGCTGTTGAGCTGGTTCTGACTTATAATGACCCCGTATAGGGTTTCCAAGGAGAGAGGCTGGTGAGCTTGAACCACTGACCATGCAGTCCAAACCGTCTTTGCAGTCCAGCACATGAGCCCACAGTGCCACACCAGAAGCCCATGATTGTCCTGTGTCCTTCAGGAAAATCTATCAAAATCACCCTTTTGGAATTCTAAAATCCAGTCACCTTAACATCTGAGCTGACCTCTCTGTCTTGATTTTAACTAGCAAATTTCCCTCAGAAACCATTCTTTTGATTGGTACTTTTTTGAAGGTACCCTAACAATACAAAGACAAGTGTGTTACCGAGAGAACTTGTCTGCAGCTATTCACTGATCTCAGGCATGTTAAAACACCTTTTGTTTGGAATAAAGCTGCATATGTGAACTGGAACCCTAATAGTGATACTTTTTGACTTTCACTCATAACTTTGAGTAGGAAAATTCTGTGCCTGCAAATAAACGAAGCTCAGCTCCCCCTGCCCCCTAGCCCCCCGGCCACACACACACTTCAGGTTTTGTGTTGGCTGAGCTGTGGCTTACTGAATTTCTGTTAAGCATTTCTGTAGCGTCTGCATTATGTGTTTAAGTCTCCTCAAAAGACATGGACTCCTTCATTGTGCCTCTTGCTTTACCCTGGGCTCTCATGTCCTTGAACTTGTACAAAGTATTTGCTCTTCTGTAAGATTCCTGTTGTGATGCTGTAGGATAAGCACTGAGCTGCTAACCACAAGGTCTGCAGTTCAAACCCCCCAAGCTGCTCTTGGAATCCCTATACAGGCTCACTATGAGTCAGAACTGACTTAACAACACTTAACAATAACAGCACCACCAATCTGGTAGACAAGAGAAGTATTTGTTATATTCTACTGCAAAAGAAATATAAACTTTAATGTGATAAATATCTGCATTTTTATACCTAGGTGTTTATGACATGATTTTTTACAATAGAAAATGCAATGATATGCTCACAAGTATAGCTGAAATGTTTGCAACTTCAGAGTTTGCATATATTTTTTACTGCTAGCAAAAGAGTAATTTTAATTTTAAATTTGCAAGTTAGGACCAATAATTTGTAGTTTATTTATTTTCCTGCAGAGTAAAGTTCTTGAAATAATATTTATGTAAAATTATTTGAGATGAAATTATTGAAATTGTTGCTACATATTAAAAGGAAAGCTAGTATAAGTGCAGTTTGTTGATTAAGTTATAGTAGCACTTAGCATTTTGATCTATTCATATTCAGGCATGCCTTAATACAATATGCCTTATTATTTATTATACTTTACTATAATGATAGTGGTGGTGGGGTGGATGGGAGGGGTGGGGTGGTGTGGTGTGTGCAGTCGAGTTGATTCCTGCTCAGGGCAACCCAGTGTAGGGTTTCCAAGGTGGTAAATCTTTTTGGGAACAGAAAGCCTCATCTTTCTCCCATGGAGAAATAATATATAAGCCAGTAAGAAAGTTCAAGTGTGGACTACTTACCTAGAAATTTGTAATGCTTTGGAGATGATTTTTAAGTATGCAGACGTTAAAGATCTCTCTCCTTTACGCTATACATTTAGCTTTCTGAAGTAAAGAACAAGCGGTACTTCAGAGGTAGAAATGCACTTTTCGTTAAAAACTTGTACTGCCGTAAGAATAATGAAATACCTGTGCTGGCTGCAGTGAGTCTGCTCAGCGGAGGCATCGCAGTCAGTCCATTCCCTCAGCACTTGGCATGTTCCGGAACTTCTGAAAAGTCTAGTTTTAGTAAAGATTACTCAGAAGATATGGGAAAAGATAACATAACTTTTCTGCCAGATAGTCCTGTATTTGGAGAAACAGTGGAATTTTCTTCAGGATGAGGTTTTCTACTCCCACAAAGATGTATAGCCTTGGAAATCCTATACAGGTCACTGTGAGTTGGAACCAATAGTACTTAACGACCATTTCTGTGTAACAATATTCTAGTAACTTCCAAAAAACAAAAACCAGCACATGAAATCCATTGCTATGGAATTGATTCCAACTCATAGTGATCCTTTAGGAGAGACTGGAAATGTCCTAAGGCTATAAGTTTTTAAGATAATCTGCCACATCATTCTCCTGTGGTGGGGCTGGTGGGTTTGAACCACTGACTTTAGTGTTAGCCAAGAGCTTAACCACTTAGGGCTCTGTTCCAAATTTAGGGACTTGAAACAATATATAATACTGTCTTAAAGTTTCTGTGCATCAGGCAAGGCTGCAAACCAAGCTGTCTTTGAAGATGTGGTCTCATTTGAGGCCTCATTTTAGTAGGGAAGGACTCATTTCCAAGTTGACATGGTTTTGGCAGAATGCAATTCACTGCATTCTCTGGGACTGAGGGCCTTCATGTCTTGTGGGCTATCAGCTTTAGCCCCCCTCACTTCCCTTCCACATGGGCCCCTCCACTGGCAGCTTGTTTTTTCAAAGCCAGTAAGTCTCCCTGTAGGATAAGCACTGGACTGCTAACCACAGGCTGGTAGTTCAAAGCCATCAACCGTTCCTTGGAAACCCTGGACAGGGTTGTTATGAGTAGGAACCAACTAGATGGCACATCACTACCACCACCACCATTGTGAGTCTGAATTAAAGGTGGATTGTTCCTGGGTGCTTTGTGGGTGATGATTTTGACTGAAGGCTTCATTGAATCCTGAACTCTTGTCTGACTCTTACTCATGTAAGTAAAATAGTATAAATCAGGATTTCAATTCTAAAAGCCTGTTTTATATCAAATATCACAATTGAAAAACAAAATTTAATGGCAATAAATAAACTATAAATACTTGTTTTTACAAATGATTGTTAAGTAAATAAAACCTAGCAATATTAAACCTGGTATTTTGGGGTCTAATTTTATGATTGACTAACTGAGTTTTCTCGTAATACAAATCTAGTAAAGATTAGTTTGTTACCTTTTCCTAATAACAAGCATAGATCTTTATTTTAAAACTCCACAAAAACACAGAAACTTAAAATACAGCTTTGTGAATCAGTAGAGTGTCCACGTAGCTGCTATGTACAATCCTGTTTTTAGATGCCGTTGAGTTAGTTCCAACTCACGTAACAGAACGCAGCACTGCCTAGTCCTACACCAGCCTCACAGTTGTTAGTTTGAGCCCATTGTTGCTGCCACTGTATCAATCCATCTCGTTGGGGCGCTTTCTCCTTCTCTCTGACCCCCCACGTTACCAAGCATCGTGTCCTCCAGGCACTGGTTCCTCCTGACAACTTGTTCAAAGTAGCAGAGAGGAAGTCTCACCATCCTTACTTAAAAGGAGCATTCTAGCTGTACTTCTTCCAAGACAGATTTGTTTATTCTTCTGGCAGTCCATGGTACTTTCTGTATTCTTTTCGAAGACAATTCAGATGTATAGGTTCTTCTATGGTCTTCCTTATTCAACTGCCCAGCTTTCACATGCCTATAAAGCGATTGAAAATGCTATGGTTTGGATTAGGCATAACTTAGCCCTAAAGCTGCATCTTTGCTCTTATAACACTTTTAAGCATACATTGCTAGCACCTCAAAATGTTCTTCTCACTTACAAACTTCCTTTCTGATTTTTATGGCAGCTACTTCGTAATCATAGGTATTTTCTGTTGCTCCAAAGACCTTTATAGCAGAGATGGCTAGTTGTCCACCACAGCAGATCAGACGACATCGCTCCGTCTCAATGCAGTTAGCTGTGACGACATGACCAAGTTCTTGTCTACAGAACATAAGTTCAGGTGGGGCTTGCCATTTCCAGGCTGGGCCTCCCTTCTCTGTGGCCTCTTGCCTTCCAGTAAGTTGGAACCTGAACTGACTCTTTGTGAATAACAGTCTCCTTGAAGATGTGGAACACCATGTTGGAACTGACCCAGGCCCCTGAATGACTTTATGAAACAGCTGTACCACCAACCAGGACCACTCACCTCTGAACATGAGAGAAATAAACTTCCTTTTCAGAAACCATGAATGTTGGGTATTTTGTGACTGTAACTTAGCTTTCCCTCTTAACTCATACAACTTTAGACTATATCTCTAATTGAAGTATCTGATTTAATTCTTCAGTCATTTTATTCTTTAGTAATGCTAGCGTAGTGGTTATGAATCGGGCT